TCAGCGATCGCGGTGGCGACCTGCTCGGCTCCAGGCGGTCGGGGCTCGCCTGTCAGGAACTCGCGCTGGATCCAGGCCTGCAAGATCTCGGGGTCGTCCGCGAGCCGCTCGGCGCGGCGCTGGCGGACGTGAAGGTTGGTGATGTCCACTCCGCGCCAGGCCTCCTGCAGGAGGCTCGCCGAGCTGCGGGACGACGTCACGGCGAAGTCTGACACGCCTTGTGCCGCCGTGATGACTGCCCCAAGGCTGCTGTCGACCACCTTGCCTGCCGAGACTGATACGCTGGCCACGACGCCCATCATGGTCCCGACGTGGGTCAGCGGCCCGGCCATGTAGCGCCACCCGATCAGCATCGCGGCGACCGCCGCCCACGTCACTCCTCGCGAGGTTGAGCGGCCGCACCACCTTGCGATGAGCCAGGCCGCGCGTAGCAGCGACCACTTGCTCCAGCGCGCGCGTCTCGCCCCCGCGGCCGCGCCCCCTGCCAGCGGCTGCGCCACCAGCGGCTGCGGGGGCCCCAGTGCTGCCACGCCAGGGGCCGCTGGCGCTGGCGCCTCGGCCTCGGCCGCGCCCGCGCCCGCTGCTGCATCCCCCGGCTGCTGCGGACCCGCCAGCAGCCCATCCACCAGTGCGCCTAGTGCTGGCGCAGGCGGCTGGGCTAGCGCCGCTCGGGGCGCTGGCGAGGCCACCCGGCGGCCCCCCGCCAGCGGCGCTGGAGGGGCTCCCTCCGCAGGCAGCACCCAGGAGCCGTCCTGGCCCTTGCGCCAGCCCGCTGGCGGCATGCTGGATGCTCTGACCCTCGCCGAAGATGCCCTCCGGGAAGTAGTTGGGCAGCTTCTCGGCCGCCTCGCGGATGAGCGGTGCGATTCCTCGCTGCTCAGCCTGAGCCAGGACCCTGGAGGCGGTGACAACGTCCACGTAGATGCGGAGGCTGGACTCCGTGAGCCACCGTCCTGCCTCCTTGATGTCCTGGAAGGGGACACCACGAGCCACGGAATCGCTGGCGAACCCTGCGCGCGCCGAGCGAGGCGCCCAGTGGATGTCGAGGCCCAAGGCTGCTTCAAACTGCTTGAGCCGAAGCCTGTAGTCGACGAGCGAATAGGGAAAGAGGAGCCCCTCGGGCGGCGTTCCCAAGACCACTCGGTGTAGGAGGTTCTCCAGTACTCCGCCCTTCTCCAAAATAATGGCGAACTGCATTCTTTTGGCCTTTGTGCCCGACTTGGCCCCCAGGTTGATGACCCAATTTGGCTGCAAATCCGGCCCCCCTCTAGACGATGGCAAGGATATGTCTTTTGCTCGCAGCTGAAGCATCTCCGACGGGCGCAGGCCGCGATCCACCTGCAGCAGCAGGCCTACGCCCAGCCGCGGTACTCCCCAGCAGGAGAAATAGATAGCGGCCAGGTTAGCTGGCGCGCGGCCGAGCGGCGGCGCATGCTTCACCTCTGCCGAAACTCGCCATGCATCGATCACCGAGTGGGACCACGTCAGCCTCCTTCTCAGGCGTGGGAAGACAAACTCCACCGCCGCGACGGCGTACTCGAAATTGCACTTGGTCATCTGCATGTCGTTCTTGTACTCGACAAGCAGGTCGTCCCACTGCTCGGGCCCGTCGGGGACGAAGCCGTGCTCGTCCAGGTAGGTCACGAACTTCATAGCCGCTGCCCTGTAAGCCGCCAGGGTGTGCGGCTTAACCTTCTCAGCAGAAGTGCTGTCCAGCTTCCTCGGCCCCGACATGAGGTAGGCCGCGGAGCTCAGCACGAGTCAGGCACCTCGATATCTTATCAGCAGGCTGCCTGAGCGTCTCCACCCATGGAATCAAAATCTTTGTGCGAGATGCTAACCCTGCTGCGGTCTTCTGACGCAACAGGTGGTTCAGATGGTGCGCCGGGGACCTGCCCTTGCATACCGCGCCTGAGACTGGCTGGTTGTCCTCCAGGATCGGCAGCACGGTGCGGTGGAGGGCCGGAGTGGCGGCCGCCAGTCTACTGATCTTCACGACGCAGCGCCCCTCGCCCAGCGTGATGTGGTCGGCCGTCCGCCACCTCCCCGCGCCCACGATCGTCCAGTCCTCGTCGGGCTTGAACACGCGATCGGGCAGGAGGCTGAAGGGCTTCGTCCGTCGGATGACCTGCTCGGGCCGTCGCAATCCAGTGAGCTCGCCGTCCAGCCGCGCCACGGTGTAGCCCAAGTTGCCGCCCGTGTCGATGAAGTCCTTCGCGATGTCCTCGCTCATGTCGGTCACCAGAATGCCCCAGCCGCCGTCGTCCTCCACGTTGGCGCCCATGGCGTCCGCCGCGAAATACACGGGGGCTGGCGGGGCTCCCAGGTCGGCGTACATCAACGGGACTACCTGCGCCATAGCTCGCAGTTCCCTGCGGACGGTCGCCCAGGTACACACCCGCTGGCGCGGGTGCCTCTCCAGGAGCCTGAAGACGGCGCTGGGTATGCATAGCAGCTCCCTCCGTAGCAGAGCGCCCCAGATCCACACCCCCAAGAGCGAGCGCAGCTCCTCGGTGTGGAGGGTGCGGGTGGCGCCCATCTCCTCCAGCTGCCGCACCAGCTCCCGCGCCCTCTTCGGGGGCAAGCGCAGCTGCGCTGGGCGCGCCTGTGGTGCGTAGCCCAGCACCTTCTGCATGTCGTTAGCCTCCGTGCGGTCGGTGACCACGAAGCCGGCCTCGGCCAGGGCATCCGCGAGCTGGTGCATCTTCCCTGTGGCCCGTGGGCCACAGCCGCTGCCACTGGCCATCACCACCCCGTCGTCGACGCGCAGGTAGAAGGCCATCTGCGGCCCGTCCAGCACCAGCCCACGGCCGCGAAGCACGCCCTCGTTCCGCACGGCCACCGCTAGTGCCGTAGTGCTCCGCGAGCTCCAGGCGGTGACCGACCTGTCGGCCTCCGGCGGCCTTCGCCACCCGGCGCCGCCCAGACCGGTCTGCTCGAAGATGGCCAGGGCCTGGACAATCAGGGCGCCCAGCGCCTCGCACATCCCCTCGGGGTACTGGGCCAGCGGGCTCGTGCGGAAGGTGCCGTCGGCCAACTTGCCCTCGGCCGCCTCGTGGGCATGGGACCCGTCACACCGCAGCTCATCCAGGTCCTTCAGTCCCTGCAGCGCGCCGCTCAGGCACGTGGGCTTCTTCGTCCGTCCGCCCAGCATGCACTGGTCCAGGCACGCTCTCTGAGACGAGCGCCTCGTCTCGAAGTCCTGCATCTCCGTCGTGTTCCAAATGGATGGGTAGGGCGCCTGCCCTGGGCCCTCCGGGTGCTCGATGAGGAAGGCGCCGCCACTCTGGCCGCACGCCTCGCAGAGTGCCAACAAGTTCAGCGTCAGGGTGTTACTTTCCGCGACTCTAGCGGCCTCCCAGGTCCTGAGGCCTGGCAGCCCCCAGGGGCACCGCCGCGAGCGCACTGGCGGCGGTCCTGGTCGGCGACGATTGTAGCGAGCCCGCGACCAGGTCGAACAGGGCGGGCCGCCCAGCACGACGTCCACCCAGCCGCCTTCGCACAGCTCCATCAAAGCGGAGAAGGTGGGAGGGCTGGCCAGGTCCCACCGCGGGTCGTCAAGGAGATCGGCAGAAAGAAAGAGCACCCTCAGGCCCCGCTCCATCGCCAACCTCTCTACCACCTCCTGAACGTCGCCACGCCGCCGACGGCCAGCAAAGAGATGCATCACCACCATCACCCGCTCGTCGTCCCGCTTCGCCCGCCTCACCGCCTCTAGCCACTCCGCCACGCTGTAGCCCGACGGGCTAGGCGGCGCGGCACGGCAGCTGGACTGCTGCCCGAGCCAGTCGTCGTCGTAGCGATGCTGCTGAGCGTCCTCAGGTCCGGCATCCCCCCGGCCGTCCGCCTCCAGCCCCCCGTCCTCGGGCGGCGAGGCGCGCGGCGCACCGCTGGCCCCGCCCTCGGCGGGCGCCGCGGCGCCCGCGAGCGCCCCCAAGCGAGCGCCCACGCCCAGCAGCGCCCTGCCGATGATCGCCATGTTGACCGTCATGAGCAGGCGCACGGAGTGCGAGCCGCCCATGGCCAGGCGGTGGTAGCAGGGGGCTATCCAGCCCGTCGGCCCCACCATGTCGCGCAAACGCTGGCTGAGTTTCCCCCGCACCCAGCAGGCGCGGATCGGCGGGCAAGCCTGCCACTTGGCCATCCAAGCGGGGACGCGGAGGCGGGTGAAGGCGTTGTCCTCGTCGAACGCGGCTACGCCCGACTCGTCCGTCGGGGCGCACATGGAGGCGATGGCCGCTCCGCCGTGCATTCCGTGGTCTCCGCGCTGGTGGGGGTCGGCCCACACGTAGTTGCTGGCACACATCATCAGGACCTTCCGCTGCTTGGTGGGGTCCTTCTTGGGCACACAACTGAACCCGCAGTAGGCCTGGACGTCGTCGGGGTCCTCGAACGTCCACATGTCCTTCGGCAAATCGGCCCGCATCATGTAGCGGGCGTACTCGGACGTCGAGCCCCCCACGAAAGCGAAACGCTCCTCCAGCTCCTCGAAAAGGACCCCCGACTTGCCGCTGTAGTCCAGAACGTTCAGCTCGTCCGAGTAGTACTGGCGCTCGCCGTCAGGCAGCGCCTCCAGCAGGTCCACGACCATGTCGTCGGGGGGTTCTGCAACCGCCGCGGCGCACATCATCACGTGCCTGCTCACACCCTTGCGCTCTCCGGTGTAGGCATCCTGCGGTCCTCGGTCGCAGGCAAGATCCGCCCCTTGACCGCCTGTCGGGGCAAGCCCCCGGCAGTCGCGCTCGTACCGCGCTGCGTCCTGTAACGCATACTGCTGCACGAGCTGCCAGGCCAGCATCATGTCGCCATTGCTCGGCTCACGCTGGCCCGCTGGTCTCGCCTCCAGGGATCCGCGGCCCATCCCGTCCATGAGCTCGATGAGCCCACAGGCCCGACGCCACACACGCATGCGTCGAGCCCAGCGCGTCCTCAACCTGCCGGAAGAGGAAGCTCCTTGCTGTGGCCGCTGAGGTAGAGGTACTGGAAAGAACGACCTGGCCTCGGCCTCCTTCCACTGCAGGGCCCGCGTCAGCGAGCCAGGCAAACCCGTCACTGGCATTCTAGGCTGCACCCGCGGCCGCGGGGCACCTTCTCGGACCGAGGGCGGGTCGCAAGCCCCTCGGTCCGCCAGTGGATGTCAAGCCTGAGGCTTGCCCCGGCCCGAGGGCTTACCCCCTCGGCCGCGGCCGCGCCCCCCGCCATCGCCACCTCTGCCTCTGCCGCCGCCCGCCGCCTCGGCGCCGCCGCCAGCTCCTCCTCCGTGACCACCGCCACGGCCGCCGCCTCGGCTGTCGCGCTTGCTGGCGGCGTGGACCCTCTCGTCACGCTGGTGCTCGGCCTTGCTGTGGGTCGTGGCCTCGGTCACCAGCCATGTGGGAGCCAAGTCGGCGGCCGACCCGGGCGGGCGCACGGCCAGCATGGCCGCCGCACCCACCTTGTCCTTCGTCCGCATCTCGTAGACGTAGCTCGCCAGCCGCCTCAGGTGCAGCTCCAGCGCATCGTCGGACGCCAGGCGGGTGAGCAGCTCGGACTGGGTCCTGCACCCGCCCAGCAAGTAGTCCACGTTGGTGGCGGCAGTCCACAGGTCGGTCCAGACTGCCGTGTGTCGCTGGCCCGTCACTTCCTGCGACAGCCAGTCGCGAGCGCTAGCCGCCCCAGCGCCCCGCATGGTGCGGTAGATCTCCGGCGCCGCGCGTCGCAGGTCCGGCGGGAGGCTGAGGTTCCATCGGCTGTCCTCCTGCTGCTGCTGGGTCACCGGGGCCACGGCCCACCCAGGGGAGGCGTGCATGCCCCCGCCGTGCGGCGCTGTGGAGGAGGAGAGCAGCGCGTCCAGCTCCTGCTGCAGCGATCCTCCTGGCGGGGACTTCGTTCCCGCGCCCACGTAGCCGTGGGTCTGCAGCACGCGACGGAGGTCAGGGTGCAGCCCCATGGAGCCATCCACCGCCGCGATTCTCTCCCAGAAGTGCCAGGCCCAGTACACGTTCGTGGCCGCCTGCGCCTGGAACTCGCGCAGCGTGGCGCCCACCATCTGGACCTCGCGCCCTAGCTTCACCGCGTCTGCAGGAGCATAGGGCGCATGGAAGCTGAGCCCCGACGTTGGCACGCCTACCTCCGGGCTCGGCTGCGGCTGCTGCTGCTGCTGCTGCTGCAGGGCCGCCGTCTGGCTGAAGGGGCCCGGCACCTCGGACCCCTGGCCGAACGCCCGCAGCGCCGCCAGGTCCTGCGAGCCGGGCTTGGCTGGCGGGGCGCCCGCGCCCACGCCTTCGGCAGGTGGGGCCCACGGCGACGGCGGCAGCGCTGCCAGCCCCGGGGGGTGCAGCGGGCCAGTAGGAACCTCCGCGGCCCCCGCGCCACCCCCCTTGGTCGTCGGGGCCCCCTTCGCGTCCCAGGCCGCGCTGTCGTCCTCGGCGGCGGTCAGGTCCAGGCCGTCCCCGCCGCTGCTCAGCGCCGCAGCGAAGGCCGAGCGCCGCCTCCAGCGTGCCCACTAGGCAGCCACACGCTCGGGCACACGCCGTACTAGCAGGACGGTGCCACACAGCCCCACAGCTGCGCCTGCCAGGCGGTGCCGCCCAGAGTCGGCCCCAAGCACCACCACCAGGCTGGACAGGAGGAGCCCTATGCCCAGGTGCAGCAGCCAGTCGGTGGGCAGCGTGCCGCCGTCGTCGCCGACTGCACGGGCCCAGATCCGATCCGCGATCCTCTCCCAGCCATCGGTGTCGGCCGCCACTCTCCTGATCCGGCTCTCCGCCTGCGTGGCGTACGTGGCGGCCTCAGTGAACCCCCAGAGGGCCTCGGCCATCTCAGAGCCCGGGACCTCCGGGTTCCCCAGCGCCAGGCGGATGGCCACCGGGTCCAGCGCTGCCTCCAGTCGTCTCGCCTCGTCCAGCTTCGAACGGGGGGCCCGCCCCGCGTTCAGCGTCGCCCTCACCTTCAGGACGAGGCTCGCGACGTCGTCGTCCGTTACGTCAGCACCAGCGGCCCGCAGCGCGTCGGTCCCCGCCTTTTTGGCTCCTGCCGACACCGCCATCCTGCGCTGCCTGGCGTCGTCGCGCCTGCGGCGCTCGGCGTCCAGCACACCAGCTCGCCGCGGCCTGCTGCTCCTGGGCAGCGCGCCACGGCCTCGCACAATCTATGATTCCACGGGTGGAGTCCGCTGCTCCCGTCAGGGCGCCATGCCGCGCCCTGCTGCGAGGTGGGCTGGGCGCCCAGTCCTCGCGATAATCTGTACCAGATTGGAGCCACATGAAACGGTTGCGGAGCAGGCCGTGCAGCACACGCGAGGGCAGGGGGCCTTCACGGGCAACCAAAACCAAACCTACCGAGCCCACCCGTTTTGGAGGGCCGAGGGGAGCCAGGCCGGGAACGTGGCCCACCGGCGAAAAGGCCCCCCACAAGCTGGCACGCCCCTGCGGGCTCCGAGGCTCCAAGGAAAATTCCACGATCCCACCCCAAACTGTCGGTGCACATCAACACTCATGCTCTACGATTATTATCCCATCATCATCATCATCATCATCATCATCATCATCATCATCATCATCATCATCATCATCATCATCATCATCATCATCATCATCATCATCATCATCATCATCGTCGTCGTCATCATCATCATCATCATCATCATCATCATCATCATCATCATCAGCAGCAGCAGCAGCAGCAGCAGCAGCAGCAGCAATATTATTTTTCTCCTTTCTCCCCCCTTTGTCCATCCGCCGGACGTTTTACGCCCAGCGGGCCGCGTGGAAGCCGACATCCCACATGAGCGAAGATCAGAAACGGGTCCTACGCGAGATGGCACGGCGACCCTACGGGGTGGCTCACGCGGGCCGCCAGCGCAGCACGCCACAGTGGAAACGAGGGCGCGCTGACGCGCGACATTACGCGGGCAGTTTGCGCGCCAATGTCGGTGAAGACGACCTCGTTTTCTTCCCTCGCTCACACGGTTTTCCAGGGAGGAAGGGGGGCTCCCACGCGAGTTGGTTGAACTGTCGGAGGTCTGGGCGCGGGGTCGCCCCGGGGACGCGCTGACCAGGACCAGCGCCCAGCTGGGCCAGCCAGGTCCATGCCCCGAGCCCGGGCCAATGACAGAGCAGCTCAGAAACCTGGGCCGTTGGAGGAAGGGGCGCGGACTCGGCTCCACGTGGCAGGATGAGTCGGCATCGAATCGGGAGGTCGGATCGGATCGGAACGCGCGCCGGATCGGGCTGCATCGGCGCGGAGCTGGAATCGAATCGCAGCGGCCGCGACAGGACGCAGAACGGCGCCATGCAAGCATCAGGCCGCATCGGATCGCCAAAACATCAGAGCCGAGTCGGATCAGGGCGTTCAGACTCTGTGCATATATCGAATCGGTATCGAATCAGATCGAAGTGGGCCCTGAATGGTCACTCTGGCTTCGGGTCATGACTCGGGTCTCTGATGGCTGTTCAGGAAGATCCGGGGATCCCCAGGATCGCTCGCGTCGAGGCGCAGCTGCAGGACAGCATCCCGAGGTTGGAAAAAACCGAGAAGCCAACAACAACGGCGTCGCAACGGCGTCGCTCCCAGTGCTGTCATCCGCCGCTTCCGAATTGCTTTGGCCGCCCGTGGCCCCGACCGTCGCCGGCACCAGTGCTCTACACTGCCTAGGGCACCCTATTGGTCAACTGTCTGGGGTGTCCACGCGCGAGGGCCTCGCTGGAGGTTGCAGTGAACCCAAGGAGGCTGTTAGGGGGGGTCTTTCAACTTTAGGGAAGTGAGGGTCCGCCAGCAGCAGGAAGGAGAAGGAGGAGGAGGAGGAGGAGGAGGAGAAGGAGGAGGAGGAGGAGGAGGAGGAGGACAGGGAGGTGGAGGAGGGGGAGGAGGAGGAGGAGGAGGAGGAGGAGGAGGAGGAGGAGGAGGAGGAGGAAGAGGAGGAGGAGGAGATGGAGGTGGATGAGTGAGAGGAGGTTGGAGGGAGTTTATGGGGGCTGTAGAGTGCTTGAAAAAGTTACAAAAAGGTCCTGGGAGGAAAGGGGCGAGTATGTGCCAGCAGCAGGAAGGAGGAGGGAGACAAGAGATACGATACAGACATTAACACTGCTCCACGGACCTCTCCTGGGGAGGGCTTTCTGAACCCAGCCACGGCGACAAGGGCCCTCCAGAACGAGCAACAGTATCGGCACCATTGCCTCCTCCGATAACTAGAAGGGGTGGAGGTAGTGTGGAGGTGGAGGTGGAGGAGTGGAAGGAGCAAGAACAGGTGGTGGAGTCACTTCGCGGCGCCACCCGTCAGCAGGCCCTCCAGCTCCGCCACCGCGGCCAAGCAGGCCTTGCCGAGCCTCAGGTCGTCCCCGGCAGCCCGCGCGGCCTCGGGGCTCGAGAGGAAGTGCTGCAGCACGAGGTGCCTCTCCGGGCCGGAGAGGCCCGACGCCCCCGCGGCGCGCAGCAGCAGCGCCACCACCACGGCGTTCTCGGGCCTGCGCATCCCCGCCAGCAGCGCCCAGACGCACCTCCGGCGCAGCTCCTCCGGCAGGCGGTACTGCACGCAGAGGCACAGCAGCTGCCACAGCAGGCGCCCCTCCTGCCCCAGCGCGCCCCTGTCGAGGCCGCCGCCGGCGAGGAAGCGGAGGGCCTCGCCGCCGGCCGGGCCACAGCGGGGGGCGGCGTGTGCCCCCCTCGCCCCCTGTGCCGCTCTCTGCGACTGCCTGCCAGACCACCCCGACCTGACCCGAAGACCCAAAGTTCGGGTTTGGGGGGCACGCACGGGTTCCACATGTGTTTTTTCGATGAGCCCCGCCGCCCCCCCCCCCAGACTGGGAATAGAGGGCAAATTGGAGCCTTCGGGTGGGGTTGGGGTGATGTGGTGGCTGGGGACTCTGGGGGAGCACGATCGCCTCGACAAGCTCTCAAGGGGGGTGCCGAAGCCGATGGTGGGGGACCACGAACATTGATCGATGTCCCAGCTGCACGGACCACTCCTGGGGCGCGCTCCGACGAGAACTCCGAGCAGTGTCCCGCCTTGGCGACGAGGACACTCCAGGACGAGCAGCGGCATCGCTACCTCTTCATCCTCTGAGTTGGGCCCCCCCCCGGAGGGGGGGGGGGGGGGGGCAAAGACCACAGCCGGCCCCCCCGGGCGTGGCCGGCCCAGCCTCGCTCATGACCGCCTCGCTGCTGCAGCACTTGGGCTCCACCCGCAGAACAGCGGGGCCGCCAGCGCCTCCCGCGGGCTGCGCGGCCAGCTGCTCGCGCCACCTCGGCGACGCGAGCGCGAGCGCCGCGCGCCGCGAGGGGAGCCGCCGCCGCCCCAGCGCGGCGTCCTGCACCTCGACCTCCACGTCCGCGGGCTCGGCCGCGGCGGGCTCGCCGCCCAGGCGCCTCCGCAGGCAGGCCGCCCACTCCGCCGCGGGCGGTGGCTCCGCGGCCAGGGCGGGCGCCTCCCCGAGCCGCTGCCGCAGGTGCCGCGCCAGCAGCGTCAGCGGCGTGGCCCCGCCGCGGTCCGGCCGCAGGCACAGGGGTGCCAGGGCGGGCACGGCGGACAGGGCGTGGTCCAGCGCCCAGCAGTTGGTAGGGGAACGAACAAAGACATGAACATAAAAACTCGGCGGTCCGCGCGGACTTCTCGGATCGGCGCTGGCGCCGCCCCTGGCGCGCGGAGCGCGCCAGGGAGGGAGGGTCGAGCACCGATCCGAGAAATCCGCGCGGACCTCCGAGTTTTTATGTTCATATCATTGTTCGTCCCCCGAGTTGAGCCGCGCGGCCGCCACGTGCAGAAAGCTCTGGCCGGCGGCGTTGGCGGTGGCGCAGAGGCGCGCGGGCACCCGCGGCAGGAGGGCCACGAAGACCTCCTGCGTCCGCCCGTCGAAGCGCGCGCTGCCGCAGAGGAGGTGCAGCAGGGTGTCCCCGCGCTGGGGGTGCACCTCGCAGGCGTCGACCCCGCCTGCGCCCTGCGGGGGGAAGCGGCGCAGGAGGAGCAGGGCGACCTCCGGGCACTCCCGCGCCACGGCGTGCCAGAAGACGGTGTGGCCGTGGCCATCTCGCGCGCAGCCAGACTTGACCGCACCCTGCTCGAGCAGCGACTCCACCCTGCCCACCTCGCCACTCACCACGGCCTGCACCAGCGCGCTCGGCGCCACCTCTCTCGCCGGCGGCCTCTCCCCAGCCGCCGGGGCGGGCTCCCCCTCGCCGAACGTGACCCTGAGGCCACCGCCACCAGACGAGCGCCTGCCGCCGTCCCTCGGTGCCTCTTTCAGCGCCTCCTTCGGCGCCCTCTGCGGCGCCTCCTTGCCGCTCGCCGGCTCCCCCTGAGCGGCGCGCACGACTCCCGCAAGATCCCGCAGAGCGGCGGCGGTGGGCAACTCGACACAGAGCTCGCGCTGGAGCACCTGCCGCGACGCGGGCGCGTTGACGAGCGCGATGAAGCGCCTGAGGGCTACGCTGTCTCCGCAGCGCGCTCCCTCCGTGGCCAGACGGTCCGCCAGCGCCGACACCAGCGGCCCAGCAGCGGCGGCGCGCTTCTCGAGACCCAGGTCGGCGCTTCGCACCCCTGCGGGGGGCCGCTGCAGCGCGTGCCACGATTTTGTGACGCGCTCCAGCAACTCCACACACGCGGCGGCCACGATCTTGGCCGAGTTCACCTGTGACCTGACCTCCTCGAGCAGGGCGTCCCAGCTGTCCACTCGCTCCAGCGCGCACCGCACGGCGGCCAGCTGCTCCACCGGCCAGCCCGCAGAGCGCAGGGCTGCGTCATCCAGCAGCAGCAGCCGCTTCTGCAGCGAGGAGGCCTCCTCGAGCAGCTGGCGGAGCTCGGCCACCGAGGCCTTCTGCGCCATCGCGTCGCCCAGCCTCTCGGCGCGCGCCTGCAGCAAGGCCACCTCGTTCCCGTGCCCAGCCAACTTGCGCCTCAGCGCCGCGTCCGCCGCGTCTGGGAACGGAACCGCTGGCTGGGCCGCGGCGGGGAGCTCGCAGCCCGCGCCAGCCTGCGCCTGCTGGCGGAGCAGCGGCTTGAAATAATTCCCGGAGCTCTCCAGCACGCCATAGGCCGACACCAGGGGCGGGGCGGGTGCGGGCGCCTGCCCTGGCACGACGCGGACGGTGGCGGGAACCTCTGCATATTCCCGCGGGTTGCCGCTCGCCGCCCACGCGCCTTCCTGGCCAGGCGGCGGCCGCGCAAAGGGGTCGCGCAGCTGCTGCCTGGGGGGACCCTGGGAGGAGCCGCTGCCCCAGCCGTCCACGAGACTGTGGCTGGGGCCCAAGAACGGGTCCCGCGGCTGCTGCTCTGAGACCCCAAAGCCTGCACGGCCGGAGCCGCTACCCCAGCCCTCTGCGACGCCATCGGGCGCAAGGCCCGACGGCGGGTCCCGCGGCTCCTCCTCGAAGGCCGCGCGGCTGGAGCCGCTGCCCCAGCCGCCTGCGGCGCTGTCGGGGCCGCAGCCCGAGAACGGGTCCTGCGGCGGCTGCCCCGAGGCCACGAAGGCCCCGCGGCTGGAGCCGCTGCCCCAGGCCCCGGCCGCGCCCTGCAGATGGAGGCCATCCGAGGCCGCCCCAGAGGCCGCGCGGCTCGCGCCGCTGCCCCAGTCCTCGGCCTCGCCTCGGGCGGCCGCCTGGCCCGACGAGCACTGCGGCCGAGGCCCCCAGGCCTCGGGGGCGGCGCCGCCAGAGCCGCCAGCAGAGCCCCAGGCCGCGCCGTCGTCGGCGCCAGCGCCGGAGAGCGGGTCCCGCAGCTGCGGCTCGGGTGCTCCGAAGGCCGCGCTGCCGGGGCACCCGCCGCCCCAGCCCTCCTCGGCCCCGCCCTCGCCCGCGCCCGCGCCCGCCGCGGGGAGCTGCTCGCGCGGCGGCCTCGCCGAGGAGGCGCCCGGGCGGGCGGGCGGCGCGAAGGTGAGCGCCAGGTCGTCCACGACGGGGTCCGAGGCGCCGGCGGGCTCGCGCGGGAGCGCGCCGCGGGCGGTCGTGGGCGATGGGGGCGACACGGTGCCGTCGTCCGAGGCCGAGTCGCCGCCAGGGCTGAACGCGAAGTCTGGCCTCCTGACGTCGCCGCCGCCGCCTTCGCAGGGAGTGTCGTTCTCGTACCCCCGGAAGAGGTGGGGGGAGGACCTCGGGATCAGCCCCACCGTGCCAAGGAAGTGGCTCTCGCAACTTGGCGAGTCCATGGTGGGCCGCTTCCGCCGGCGCGCCTGGCCCAGTGGCGAGCCCGAGCCAAATGGCTGCGGTGCTGCTTGTCCGCTGAAAAAGAGCAACCAGGCGACCTCGTTTAGGAGGCCTCCCCAAAACGGGCCAAGCGGATGGGGTCGGAGGGTCGCGTCTGTCGCTGATGCATCGGCGCCGTCGGCGTGGCGGAACTCGGGCGCCGCATCGAGCCGCATCGCCGATGCATCGGTGATGCGGCGCAGATTTGGGAGGTTTGGGCCATTAGAAAAAAACAACACGGCGTCAACAGAAACTTTTGGCAATCCGCGCGGATTTCTTGGATCCGCGCTGAAACCGCTGGATCCGCGCTGAACCCGCGCCGGAAACGCCGCCGGGGAAGCCCAGCGCCGATCCAAGAAATCCACGCGAAACGCCAAAAGTTTATGCTTGTGACGTTTTTTTTTTTGGTCTTGTTTTTTCGACTATTTTGGCCCACCCCCGTTAGAATGTACTACTTCTGCGCGGTGGGCAGTTTTTTTTTCAACAACAGCTCTGGCCAAATAGCCCCAAATAGAACGAAATAAAACCAAATAGCCCCAGATAGAGCCGCTCCGCTCCGCTACCACGACGGCGCTGCTCCACGGCGCGCCTCGGCTACAGTCACAGAGCGCCCGCAAGCCGCGAACCGCGCATCGAGCCAAAACGGGGAGGGGCGGGGAGTGGGGAAGTCTCTGAAACAAAGAGGCGGGGGGGACAAGTAAAAACAAAGGCCGAGGAATGCGGGGCGGGGGGCAACCGCCGCGACGACGACGACGACGACGAAGTGAGCAAGAGGAGAAGGACGAGGGAGGCGGGGTGAGAGGGATCGGCAAGAAAGGGGCCCCCTGCTTCTGCAGACCGCGCCGACGATTGGCGACGACGGGGGCGCCGCGGCGAGGAGGGGCGATGGGGCGGGCACACTGGCGAAAGCTTGCGTCCGCCTCTCTGGCCGCGGGCCCACCTGCGATGAGAACAGGGACGGAGGCGATGGCAACGACGACTATGACAATGACTAGGGTGGGTACGGAAGCGATGACGAGAACGAGGAAAAGGACGGCGACGGCGGCAGCGGCGCCGGAGGCGGCCGCTGCGGCCGCGGCGCCTTTTCACCGCCGAGGCTCACACAGACAGCCTGAAGTCGCTCGGCACCGGTTTTGCGAGAGGTTGTGGCCCCTACCCTCCATTCCCCTCCCCGCCCTTCCTGTCCCCCTCGGCCTCCCGTATTCTCGATATTTTCCCCGTCGTCGCCCTCCTCCTCCCCTTTCTCTCCCCCCACCGACCTCTGATTGCCACCCCCCCTCCCTGCATGCGGGCGCGCGCGCCCGAAATCGCGAGCGGTGCCGCTCGCTCTCGCCGGCCCGCCAGGTTTGGCACGGCGGGCCTGGGTTCCCACTGTCCTTCCCAATGCCGCCGACGCCGACGCCGACGCCGACGCCGACGCCGACGCCGACGCCGACGCCGACGCCGACGCCGACGACGACGACGACGACGACGACGACGACGACGACGACAAGGACGAGGACGACGACGGGGACGAGGACGAGGACGAGGACGAGCGGCCATGGCGCGGACGACGCGGCGGACGACCACGACGACATTGCCGACGACGACGCCACAGCGGCCACGACGCCACCGTCGTGGGCGAAAAATCTGGATCGCTCCGGACTCGCCGCACGATCCGCGACGACCTCCCCGTCAGCTTGCCTTCCTCACCGTGTCTCGCCTCCTCGGGGTCGTCGTCGTCGTCGTCGTCGTCGTCGTCGTCGTCGTCGTCGTCGTCGTCCTCGTCCCCGTCGTCGTCGTCGTCGTCGTCGTCGTCGTCGTCGTCGTCGTCTTCGGGGTCGCGGGAGCCGTCGCGGGCGTCGGGGT